CAGATGTAGTATATACAGACTTTGCAAAAGCTTTCAACAAGTGTGATCATGGTGTAATAGCACACAAAATGTGGGAAAAAGGAATAACGGGAAAAGTTGGTAGATGGATCTACAACTTCCTGACAAATAAAACACAAAGAGTAATAGTAAACAGAGTAAAGTCCCAGGCAGCCACGGTAAAAAGCTCTGTTCTACAAGCACTTGTCACCGTTGCCCAGCGGTGAGAGTAGCGACTCTCATTGCTGAGGTCCAGGTAATAAACCCTGGACATTAACATCAAAAAAAAAAAAAGACATCTGTTCTACAAGGCACAGTACTCGCTCCCATTCTAATCCTTATCCTCATTTCTGACACAGACAGAGATATAAGCCATAGCTCCATGTCTTTCTTTGTGGATGACACCCAGATTACCATGCCAGTGACTTCCATCGAAGACATATCTAGACTCCAAGCAAACATCAACCAAATCCTCGAATAGGCCACTCAAAACAATGTAAAGTTCAATGAGGAGAAATTTCACCTACTCAGATATGGGAAACTTGAAGAAATTAAAAATGTATCAAGGTATACGAAAAATTCTAACCATACAATAGAGCGGAAAAGTAATCCAAAGGACCTAGGAGTGATAATGTCAGAGGATCTCGCCTTCAAAGACCACAACAATGTATGTATTTACCTCATGTGCTAGGAAAATGATAGGATGGATAATGAGGACCTTCAAAACTATGGATGCCAGGCCCATGATGATTCTCTTCAAATCTCTTATGCTCTCTAGGCTGGAATACTGCCTTACTCTAATGGCCCCCTTCAAGGCTGGCAACATTGCAGACCTGGAGAGTGTACAAAGAACTTTCACAGCACACATAAGTACGATAAGGCACCTAAACTACTAGGAAAGATTGAAGGTCCTTGATCTGTATTCCCTCGAACGCAGGCGAGAGAGATACATGATAATATACACTAGGAAGGTCCTGGAGGGATTGGCACCAAACCTGCACACAAAAATCTCTCCCTATGAAAGCAAAAGACTTGGCAGGAGATGCAACATTCCCCCGATGAAAAGCAGGGGCGCCACGAGTATGGTGAGAGACGACACAATAAGTGTCCGTGGCCCAAGACTGTTCAATTGCCTCCCAGCATACATAAGGAGATTACCAATAGACCCCTGGCTGTCTTCAAGAAGGCATTGGACAGGCACCTAAAGTCAGTACCTGACCAACCGGGCTGTGGTTCATACGTCAGCTTGCGTGCGGTCAGCAGTAACAGCCTAGATGATCAGACCCTGATCCACCATGAGGCCTGGTCTCAGACTGCACAGCAGGGGTGTTGAGCCCTGAAACCCTCTTCGGGTAAACTCCAGGTCCAGGTAAGTCAGTAAATCAGTCAGTAATTCGAGTCAGTAAGTCAGTCAAGTCGGTAAGTCAGTCAGTTAAGTCAGTTAAGTCAGTAAGTCATTCGGCCAAGTCAATAAGTCATTCAGTAAGTCAGATGCTGTGCCCAGCATCTCTTCTCCACCATCAACTGCCAACATTTCTTCTTCAAGGTAAATGCTTCAGTACATACCACATAATTTCTTTACACTGTTTTCCTTATGAAACTAAGTAGTGATCTACTGCAATTTGCCTCACAAATGCTCCATTTTCTGTTATAATAAGAGCATAGGAATGTATGGAGTCAGGAGCAGGAATGGTCACTGTGGTGGTCCTATATAACAATAACAATAAAGGTAGCTGTACCACCGCCGCCCCACCACTAGCCACATACGTAATGACATAGTATTTTATTCATTCTAGTAGTATATACAGTGGACCCCCGCCTTATGAACTCATCGCATTACGTTAAATCTGCCATACGAAGCATTTGAGCGCAAAAATTTTGCCTCACCTCACGATAAAAAACTCGCCTTACGTGATTCGTCCGGGACGCGTCCCACTTGTGGCCTCAGCTGCCCCGTGGGTGCCAATGTTTACAAGCCAGCCAGTGCAGCCACATCTAAGCATACATTCGGTACACTTCATATTATCACAGTGTTTTTAGTGCTTATAACTGCAAAAAAAGTCACCATGGGCCCCAAGAAAGCTTCTAGTTCCAACCCTATAGTAAAAAGGGTGAAAATTACTATGGAAATGAAGAAAGAGATAATTGCTAAGTATGAAAGTGGAGTGTGTGTCTTGGAGCTGGCCAGGTTGTATACCAAACCCCAATCAACCATCGCTACTATCTTGGCCAACAAAACGGCAATCAAGAAAGCTGTTCTTGCAAAAGGTGCAAGTTTGTTTTCAAAACAGAGATCGCAAGTGATAGAAGATGTTGAGAGACTGTTATTGGTGTGGATAAACAAAAACAAGATAGCAGGAGATAGCATCTCTCAAGCGATCATATGTGAAAAGGCTAGGAAGTTGAATGACGATTTAATTGGAAAAATACCTGCAACTAGTGGTGATGTGAGTGAATTTAAGGCCAGCAAATGTTGGTTTCAGAGATTTAAGAATCGTAGTGGCATACAGAGTGTGATAAGGCATGGTGAGGCTGCCAGTTTGGACCAAAAAGTGGCTGAAAAATATGTGAAGGAATTCAAGGAGTACATAGACAGTGAAGAATTGAAACCTGAACAAGTGTTTAATTGCGACGAACAGGGCCTGTTTAGGAAGAAAATGCCAAGCAAGACCTACATTACTCAGGAGGAAAAGGCACTACCAGGACATAAGCCTATGAAAGACAGGCTTACTCTTTTTATGTGTGCTAATGCTAGTGGTGATTGCAAAGTGAAGCCTTTATTGCTGTATCACTCTGAACTCCCAGAGCGTTCAGGCAAAACAATGTCCTCAAGGCTAATTTGTGTGTGGAGGGCAAACAGTAAGCCATGGGTCACTATGGACTTTTTCTATGACTGGTTACACCATGCATTTGCTCCCACTGTGAAAAATTATGTAATGGAAAAGAAATTGGACCTTAAGTGCCTCCTGGTATTAGACAATGCTCCTGGTCATCCTTCAGACTTGGCAGAGCAACTTTCTGGGAATATGAGCTTCATTAAGGTCAAGTTTTTGCCTCCTAATACCACTCCTCTCCTGCAGCCCATGGACCAGCAGGTCATTTCAAACTTCAAAAAACTCTACACAAAAGCTATGTTTCAAAAGAGAGTTTTGGAAAGATCTCTTTAGTATCCTCAGTTGTGTAAACCTTATAGGTAAGGCTTGGGAGAGAGCGACTAAGAGGACCTTGAACTCTGCTTGGAAGAAACTGTGGCCACAATGTGTAGAAGAAAGGGATTTTGAAGGGTTTGGGGCTAACCCTGAGAAGCATATGCCAGTTGTGGAATCCATTGTGGCATTGGGGAAGTCCTTGGGGTTGGAGGCTAGTAGGGAGGATGTGGAAGAGTTGGTGGAGGAAGACAATGAAGAACAAACCACTGATGTGCTGCAAGATCATCTTCAACAGCCAGAGGCCAGACCTGAGGAAACTGCTTCAGAGGAGGGGGAGAGAGAAATTGAGGAAGTTGCCTACTTCAAAGATTAAGGAAATGTGTGCAAAGTGGGTTGAACTGCAAACCTTTACAGATAAAAATCACCCTGACACAGCTACTGCAAGCCGTGTTGGCAACCTGTACAATGACAATGTTATGGCCCATTTTAGGAAAGTCTTAAAGGAACGGGAGGTACAGAGCTCTATGGACAGATTTGTTGTGCGACAGAGATCCAGTGACTCTCAAGCTGGTCCTAGTGGCATTAAAAGAAGAAGGGAAGTAACCCCAGAAAAGGACTTGCTACCTCAAGTCCTAATGGAAGGGGATTCCCCTTCTAAACAATAACTTCCACACTCTCCCCTCCTCCTATCCCATCAATCATCACCAGATCTTCAATAAAGGTAAGTGTCATGTATTCTATTCTTCGTATAGTAGTAATTGTGCATGTCTTTTTCAGTTTGTGTGTATTAAAATTAATATTTCATGTGGTAAAAAAAATTTTTTCATACCTTGGGGTGTCAGGAACGGCTTAATTTGATTTCTATTATTTCTTATGGGGAAAATTAATTCGGCTAACGATAATTTTGACTTACGATGAGCTCTCAGGAACAGATTAATATCGTAAGGCGGGGGTCCACTGTATATCATGTTCCTATGTTATTAATATTGTTTATTATGTCATATTAGATGAATAGATAAATAAGCTGTAGAGTTGATATTAGCGAAATACTGAAGTATTCTGTCATGCCTAGAATTCCTCTGGAATGGGTTAATGCCATTTCAGTTAATTTATTGGGGAAAACTGACTCATCATACGAGCAAAGCTGGATATGAGGAAGGTCAAAGAACAGATTAAACTCCTAAGCTGAGGTTCCACTGTATTGTGAAAGCATATGTTGCAGTTTTTTAACTGCAGTATCAGCACGCATCTGGCAAGACAGCAATGGAGTGTGCGATGATGAGTATTTCTTTTTTTTTCGGGTCACCCTGCCTCGGTGGGAAACAGCCGATATATTAAAAAAATTGTGAAGAAGTATTTGTATCATAAGAATAAGAGCTTATACAATATTTTTCATTACTTAGTTTGGCTTCCTCCCCCAGTCTATTCACTTCATCTACTGGCCCAAGTACTGACATTTTTGTACTCATACTTAGAGGTGCAAGGGTAATTAAGATCAGTGTAGTACTGAGTGAATGTTTTCTTACTAATACACCCATAGTGCTTCCAAGCTTTGATGGCTGTGTATTCATCAGGTAGTGAGCACTTAGCTGAGCTGCAGTTATGTAACAATGTATGAGACCAACAAGACTTCACCTAGTTCTCCAATTTGAATGAAGCCATTTATAATGAACTTGAAATTATACAGAAAAACATATAATGAACTTCAATATTCATGAAGATGACACTAGTAAATTATATGGTATGCATGACTGACTTCATATGGATACAAACAAACAATTAAAAGAATTTTAAAACAAATCATTAAAAATTTTACTGAATTATAATAATCGAAATATGGCATGAACAACTTACATAGTTAAGTATAATGATGACCATAAGGTTGAGGCAAGCAGCAGTCAAGGAGGTGACCATCTTAGCATTTCGTCTGAAGAGGTCTGATTCTGTTTGGTGCATGGCTATTACCACAGCCATGCGATAAAGAATCACACTGAACATTGCTGCTATCACAATACACAGCTATAGGAAGAAACAGATATTGTACATGGTTATGATTTCAAAAAATAAGTTAAAACTACTATACAGTGTATCATATACAGTTGATGCTTTGACTGTCGCAAGCCCATTTCTGAAACTGTCATTCTATGTTGAAAAATCTTTTGAAAAAAAAAATTTCTTATGAAATTATAGAGAATCTTTTTCCGATGGTAATGACACCAAAAGTACAAATTTTGATCGAAAACTTACGGAACTATGCTCCTACGAAGTTAGTGATCTCGGGGATATATACGCATCGGCAATTTCGCCGACTTTAAACCCTATTTTCAGCCAATTCCATTGTTCCAGTCGACCAAACTCATAGCTATTTCTTTAGAACTCCATTTTTTCTATCAATTGAGTACAAGAAACCGCCCATTTACCGATTTCAACTACCCAATAAAGTGGTCAGAAATTGACAATTTGGCCAATTTCATGCAAATTAAAAAAAATGCCAATTTCAAAATAGGGTCCAGAATAAACAATGCAAACATTCTTGGCACTAAAATAACATATCCTCTGTTCATTAATCATGTCTCCAGGCCCCTCTTATATTACTCTTGCTTTATAATATCAGTGCACTATTGAAAGAATATTAAACTCCCCAGTTGATGTGTATTGGATGTGTGGTGTGATTTGCTTACTCTTGAACATTGGTAAAAATCGAACATTTCCACTACTTTGAGCTCAATTTCAAGGTTGTTTTCATCGTGAAACTAATCCAAATCATCTCTATTTCTATAATATGTTTTCCATTCTATCAAATGAGACCAAGAAAATGAGAATACAACCATAAATGCTTTACGAAAATACACCTCAAAGTCGGTGTTTTAACCCCTAAATGGTCCAAACATATATATACGTTCTCTCCTCCAGTGCCCCGAATATTTTGAAAAATAAAAATTTTTTTATTGAAATACACAGAAAAATTTTCTAAGTGTAATAGGATGAAAATAAAAAGTTGGCACTAAGGGGTTAATCGTCCAATTTTTTGCGCGCTTTAAAAAAAAAATTGAAAAATTATGGAAACTGAGTTATTCATGTAGAAAAATAGCTTAACTCTTTGGCAACACAATGGTACAATAATCAATGTTCTACGACATTTCTACAAGAAATTATAGTAATTTATATCAGGTATGGTGACAACGATGTGGGTAGCACGTCTGCTCACAGCCCATATATTTTTTTGAATTTTTTCCTTGTTTTTTATCGCTTTTTCTTGCATTATTCTTTCTAATATAATAATTGACTATTTGGCATCATAAAAAAGTAGGCGGAGCTTATATGTAGACTTCTAGCCAATCAGGAACCATCTGGGAACACCGGCAGTATTCCCACTCCAGAGAGAGCCAGGAGAAATCACTTCATTATTACGCTTATATCAACTCTACAGCTTATTTATCTATCAGAATTGATCTAATATGATATAATAAACACTAAATAACATACAAACATGTTATACACTCTAGACTGAATAAAATAGGCCATAATATGGCGAGAGTCCACCAGCAATATTTCGATATAAAAGCGTTACTCCTCGTCTCCATGTCATATTCTTTGGCCTTCAGTGATAGAAAATGGTGTTTTGAAGAGGATAACTGCACTAGAACACCAATTTACTAAGAAACCCACTGAAACGTGATTTTCGCGAATTTTTTTTTTTTTCGAGATGGCGGGCCTTTATTACAGTATGCCTTTATTACGGTATGCCCTTATTACTTAATTAAGTGGAATAATATTCACAGAAATTGTAAAATAATGATTTCTCTAATTTCTGACGGTACATTTTTGGAAATATATTCCAAATATTTTGGGATTTATGTGGGAGTAAAGGGCAAATTTTATGCAACATTCCAAGAACTAACAAACTTCATTTTTTGTGAAATAAAGATATTTAGAGGAAAGGAAACCATGAGAAATTCGTATAAGCATTGTTCTCTCGGCACCAAGTGTCCAAACAACCTTACGTCATCCCATATAGGAATACCTTCCTGCCAAAGGGCATTTTCAGTAAATCAGTCCTTTCTCAGTCTTTTCTCAGTTGTTGTTTGAGATATCTTATTGACAAATATTTACAGGAACTAGAGAAAATACATTGTCTTGTGCACCAAAACTGAAGAAATCTGCCGGTAAACAAAAAAGCAACAATTAATTTGATGATTAACCCCTTATTATGCTCACCTGACAGCAACATTGAGTCCTACTGCTTGAGGAAGTGTTGCTGATATAACATTTTTTCTCATTTTTATATTATTTTATATAATTTTTATGTTCTGATAATTATAATTTATTGTACAGGTCCTCCATCACAAATCCGGCATCATTGGGACCTGTAGTGTGCCAGATTACTGAGTTTGCCGGATTTCAGAGTGGTTAGGTCAGAATACACTAAGAGGAAAACAGCACCAAGGCCAGCAAGAAAACACCGAAAAATCAACTATTCAACAAGTGTAGCCAGGAGGACGCCGGCCCAGCAACCACCCCACTCACCACCGCTCAAGGCGACACCACAACAATAACAACAAACATGGCTGCCACCAGCCCATCCTCCCCTCTCTTCCCCGGATTCAACCTACCAAGTAGTCTCTCAGGTATGACCAACGATCCAGATACCCTAAAAACATTCATCTCCAATTTAGTTATTGAAAATATGAATCTTCGAGAGACGCTAACAAAACAAGACACCAGGATGACACAACTCGAGAACAAAATCCTCAGTCTTGAACAAAAGTTATCAACACCAGGAATGACTAACTGTGACAAGACCATCCAAGCAGTCATAGATAGCCATACCCAACAAATAATATCTCTTAATACAAAGGATGAAGAAGCAGTAAAAGAATGGAAGAACAACTTAGATAACCAGTTCAGTGACTACTTTGCTCTCCAAGAAGATAAAACTGAGCAAGATAAACTATCGGACACAGTAATAGTTAACAGTCCACTTTTTCCCAGTGATATGAACCAAACAAATAGTAAAGAAATTACTCTGCAGATCATAAAGGACCAAACAAGTGTTTATTGTACCAGAGTCAGAAATAAAAGAAGCCAGGTTACTAGGATCCCATGGTAGAAAAAGTGTTATGCTTAGATTCCACTCACATGACAGGAAAAAAGACTTAATTATTGCATCTATTAAAGTAAAGAAAGAGGTATACATAACGAGTGTCTTACCAAAAAACGTCAGAACCTCCTTTATAGAGTCAGAAAACTTAAGCGGGAGAATAATGACACAATACACCAATTGCTTCACACGAATGGAAAATTCTTGTTAGGAAAACAAATGTAGGTCAACTGTACACAATAACGAACGAGAATGATCTATCACGATTTCTCAGGGATACTAATCTTACAGAGAATAACTAAACAATGTCCAACCTAAAAGCCTACGTAGTGTAGTGAATGTTTTGCTCCATTATTATTCAAATTTCATTGTACAATCTCTTAGTAATTAAATAATCAACTACCTCATTTTGTGATTTTACTAGTAAGCATAAGTCACCTTATGTAATTTTCTTATTTACTATTGTTTGCTTAAACATTAGCTGAATTGATACTTTCTCTGTCCATATTATTACCTCATATTTTTTTTAAATACTATCAATTGATATTACTTACTAAAATTAATAATTATCATTTTTACTATAATTTCAATTTACTCTTAACATTTTTGACATTTAACCCTTTCAGGGTCCGTCCCGTAGATCTACGGCTTTACGTTCAGGGTCCAAACCGTAGATCTACGCCATGAGCTCAGCTCACTCTGATAAACTGTGAGTGGTACATTTGGGCCTAGATATGAGAGAATACATCTATGTGGTATGTGTGCACCACATAAAACAGATCCTGCAGCACACTGTGTATAATGAGAGAAAAAAAATGAAATCATGATTTTTCGATTAAAACAGCAACTTTGCAGTGTTTTTTCGTATGTTTTTTATAGTTGTATTTGCGATTTCTTGGTCTCATTTGATAGAATGGAAGACATATTACAGAAATAGAGATGATTTTGATTGGTTTTAGCACGGAAATGGCTTGAAACTGAGCTCAAAGTAGCAGAAATGTTAATTTTTGCCGATATTCAAGAGTAAACAAACGACCTCACACGTCTAATACACACCAGCTGGTGGGTCTAATATACATTCACAAATATGGTGATGATATTTATACAATTATTACAGTATTGCATAACAGTAAATCTTCTATTTTTTGGTGTGAATAAAAATTCATTATGTGAAAAAAAATCAAAATGGAATTTATTTGTAAAGCCTCAAAACATAACTAATGAACAGAGGAAATGTTAGTTTAGTGCCAGGAATGCCTACATTGTTCATTCTGGACCCTATTTTGAAATTGGAATATTTTGAACTTTGTGTTAAATTGGCCAAATTAACAATTTCCGATCACTTTATTTTGTAGTTGAAACAGTTGACTTGGCGATTTCTTGTGCTCAATCGATAGAATAGAAGTAATAGTAGTGAAATAGCTAAGAATTTGGTTGATTGGAATAATGTAATTGGCCTAAAATGGGAGTCAAAGTCGGCAAAATCGCCGATTCGTAAATATCGCTGACACATCAAAATTCGCGAGAGCATAATTTCGTCAATTTTCCACCAAATTTCGTACTTTTTGTTTTATTACCTTCACAAAAAGATTCTCTACGATTTCATAAGAAAAAATAACAAATTTTTTTTTTGAAAATTCTTGGACACTGGTGCGTGACTCCAGATTTGGGCCTTGGACCCTGAAAGGGTTAATAACCATTACTTCTCTAATTACCTTTACCTGTTTTAATACCACATTTACTATCTTAGAGTACTCTTAATTACCTTGTGCTGCCATATAACCTCTAGTATAACTACCAGTTCAATACTGAATGAAATAAACATTACTTTTTCACTTTTTTGTAATAATTATTACTTACTAAAATTTTATTAACCCTTTGACTGTTTCAGGCCCCTCTCTGAAACTGTCATTCTATG